AAAAATTATCTGGATATGGTGGCATGCACCTGTAGTCCCAGCTACTTGGGAGGCTGAGGTAGGAGAATCACTTGAACTCAGGAGGCAGAGGCTGCAGTGAGCCAAGATCACGCCACTGCACTCTAACCTGAGTGACAGAATGAGACTTAATCTCAATATAATAATAATAATAATGATAATAATAATAAATGGCCCAAAAGCACAATAGTGATACTGACAATTCAGATATGCCAAAGAAAAACCCTAAAGTGCTACCTTTAAGTGAAAACATGAAAATTCCTGACTTAAGAGAAAACACTGTATACTGAAGTTGCTAAGATCTACAGTAAAACTGAATCTTCCATTCATGAAAATGTGAAGAAGAAAAAATAGAATCATGCTAGTTTAGCTGTTGCACCCCATGTTGCAAAAGTTATGGCCACAGTCCCTGAGAGTTAAGATGGAAAATTCATGTAGATAGAGTTTGGCATTATCTGCAGCTTCAGGCATCTATCAGGAGACTTGGAATGTATCACCCAAGGATAGTGAGACTACTGCATTCTGCAGCCTGAAGCAGCTGTCCTAGGTAACTGACAAACAGAAAAGAAATAATTGCTTATTGCCACTGATTTTTTAGTTATTGATTACACATCAAAAATTGGCAATTACATGAGGTAGCAGTAAATGGTAGATCAAGCCCTACCATTTACTAGTTGAGATAGAAAATCTGTATCTTTAAAATGAAAGGTTTGTGTTCATTGAACTCTGGGTTATTTAACAAGATTTGAAACTCATGACTCTCAAGTATATCTCTCTCGACAGTGCATTTCTATAAAACAGGTCAGACTATTACCAAAATATAAAATGAATAGTAGAGAAAGTTAAACCAAAAAAAAAGCATTCTAAAATATCTCAGCTTAATTTTATTTTTTAAAGCATAAAGACTGGGATTTGTTAGGGTGCTGTTCAATACTGAACTCTGAAGTGTCTGCTGAAAAAAAGAGGAGAGTGCATTATCAGTTGGTTGCAGAGTACCCGGAGAGTAACGCATTGTTATTCGATTGAGTCAACCTTCAGGGAGCTGGATTCACCATCAGGCTCTAATCACCCTGAGCTCCCTAAGAACAAAGTATTTTCAGTACCTGACATGAAACAATATTCCACATGTAATGGGAAAGAATAAAAAGACTGAGCAAAAAATAGAAGCTAGAGAGTATTGCAATGGAAAAATATATTTTTCTCTCTCTTCTTATTTCTGGTTGGGTGATTTTAATTTTCATATAGGGATTCCGGCTTTGCATGAGAAGCTAGACTATGACACATGTAAGGTCATACTTAACCCTAATATACCATGACCTCATATAAGACAGAGCTTACTTAAGACATTTTCACGTAAGAGCCTCAGTGACCCTTTCATTAATGCAAGCTCTAACGTCTCTTATCTTCCTTTAAATAAAAAAAAAAAGAAGTCTCTTTAAATTTATTTTGTACTTTTGACACTTGCATAAAAATTCCCTGTGGACCTAGAAATTTCCTGTGGCTATTCAGTTTGTGCCAAGGAACCAGTTCCACAAGAACAATTTTTATCGAAAATCAAATTTGCTAATCAGCAAAATTAATACATTTACTTGCGATAAAATTATTTTTTTAGAAAGATTTTAATATATGTTAAAATTTGGCATTCAGTTAATATTTTTAAGAAAGAAATGTTCTTATGCAACATCCCTAAAATGCCCTAGGGAACTCTGAAATCATTTTTTCATTAAATAGAGCTGAAATTATGTGAACAACTAGAACATGAGGAAGAAAAGAGAAAAACAAAGTATAGAACACTGGGGAATGAGAAAATAGACTGTGAAAGGAACAGTGATTTGTTCAAGGTTACCCAGTGAGTCAGGAACAAAGGGGAGAGCTGGGACCCTGCCAACAGCCAAAGCGTATCCACATTAATGAGTTCGCGCTAAACCTGCCATTTTCAATAGATAATGTATTCATGTTTCTTCTACATCTGGGAAGGTATTCATATTTACTGTCCTTCTAGAATTTAGCATGTATTACCTCATCAGTGTTTATTTTTTTTCAAAAAAAAATGATAAATACTTTAGCTGCTCTCAACCAGAAGCTAACAAAATCTCTGAGGCAGGCATTATAAGTCCTGTCTTAGAGGTTAATTTAGGTGCATAGAGATTAAATAAATTACTAAAGAACATACTATTATGATACTTGGGACATTTTCATCATATCAAGCTGCTCACAAACCCCTATAAAGATCGTTACATCCTTAATGTAACCCACTGTGTTTTGTTGTTAAGATTTGGCATTCAGATAATATTTTTAAGAAGGAAATGCATAATAATGGTGACTAGGGTAGGTGTGGTGGTTCCCACCTGTAATCCCAGCACTTTGGGAGGCCGAGGCAGGCGAATCACTGAGATCAGAAGTTCAAGATCAGCCTGGCCAATGTGGCAAAACCCCATCTCTACTAAAAAAACAAAACATAAAAAATATAAAAAATATTAGTCAGGAGTGGTGGCACACGGCTGTAGTCCCAGCTACTCGGGAGGCTGAGGCAGGAGAATCACGGGGAGGTGGAGGTTGCAGTGAGCCAAGACTGGACTCCATTTGCACTCCAGCATGGGCAATAGAGCAAGACTCTGTCTCAATTAATTAATAAAAAGTTGCTTAAAAATTTTTGAAGGACTCAAAATCAGATACAAACCTGATATTTGTATTTGAAATTTGAGAATGGGAACAATTTGATGAATTTATTATTTGCAACTGATGTTACTAGCTAATCAGTTGGGATACGAATTGAGCATGTCTACACAAGACCCTTAGATCTTACTGATAAAATTATTTCTACATGAGGGCATCTGGCATTTATGCCACCAGAACCCTAATAGGAGGCTTTGAAACAATATAGATCTACCACAAGAAAGTGGTCCTGCTTACAAAATCAACCTCTGTGATCCAAGACTACTTCTTGAGAGCATTGTTCACCTGCTTTACCAGTGGCTATGGTGAAGAGATTTGTTTGGGGCATAAGATTCCTTCATACATATATATATATATGTATGTATGGATATGGATCCCTATCCTGAATGTATTGAAGATTCTGGGACAAGTTGTCTCTCATCCAAATCTGTACGTATCAGGGGAATAAGTAAGGAAACTATGTTCACAAGCTGACAGGCAGAAAACAAGGGAGGGAAGAAAGAAGCATATATGGCATCATGTTAGAAGTTAAATAAGACTTCTAACTCTACAGCAGGCTATTTGAATTGACTCTTGACTCTGCCTGTTACTGTGAGTCCATGAACCAGTCAATTGACCTATTTATGACTCATTTTCCCCATCAGTAAAATAGAGAAATTAATGGTACCTACACCTCATAGGATTGTTATGAGGATTAAATGAATTAAAATTTGTTAAGTGCCTAAAACGATGTTAGACATACACTGTTATAGTTGTTTGATAAGTAAAGAAAGGTAGAAAGAGTGAGAGAATAGTGGATGTAGGTGCCTTTAAGACGTTCCTTTGTTTTCTTCTCCAGAGCCCTTTACTTTCCAGTGTTGGGGTCACTTGGCTCCTACCAGTAAGCTTAACCTCGTTTCTGGTCTGGCCCCAAACTCTTCTTGTTCAGAAAGATTTAAGAAGCCCTAGTTCAGTAGTTCAGGTGATTCAGCATTAAGTCAAGCTAGCTGTTATTCTTGTCCTGACCCTGTGTCCCAGTTTTAGTTCCTCATTCTTATAATCAAGTCCCAACCTTGTACTCCAGTTCTGGCATCCTGCTCCCCTGTGGCCGAGTCCCGGATTGCAGAACCTGCTCAGGAACAGCCAGTTCCTTTGAGGCAACATCTCTCAAAAGGCAGCCTATGGACTAGACATACTTTGGCAGACACAGTGTTTGCACTTTTGAAAATTGGTTGCCTGTATTTAGAAATTGCAAACATGTACAAATTTCCATCTTATTTTGTAAAATGACCTGGCACCCACAGACTTCATGTGGCAGTTGCTCCCTGTAAATGGCCATGTGCTTTCTATTCTCCACAGTCTCTGACTGCTCCATTTGTTTCTGTGATTTGCTTGGTCATTGAAGGGATTTGAGGCTGTGGGCTAAAACAGAGAAGAGCCAGTACTTACCAAGGACCTTTTGTGCTAGGTACTGTTCTAAGTGCTTTATGTGCTTTATTCATTTAATCAAAGGCCAGGAATCTGTCTGTTCTTGTCCATTACCCCTTCTCCCCTGCACCCCTTCTTCTCTGCTTCATATCACCTGTCTAGCCTGCATCTGTGGCTGTCCCATCTTCCTCGATCACTATCCTCCACTCTTCAGCTAGGCCCCACTCACAAGCCTTGTTGGATCTCCATAACATCAACCACTCCCCCACATTGCTGCCTGTAGCTGGTCTCCAGTCTTCCCTGCCCAGCCAGACTCTATCTTCAACTTTTGCCATTAGAGTGGTTGTGTTGGAAGTACAGAATCCTAGGCTTCATTGGTTTGCCTGATTCTATTATCTCCTTCTCCATGCTTTTACAAAACCAAAACTTTCATTATATTAGGTACGTGCTACCCTCACAAAACTTTTGTCCACTTCTTATTAGAAGCCCAACAAAATCCATAAAAATATGTATTGGTTACTTACTACTTACTTTATGTTCCACACTTTGTCTTATAAATTGACTCCAGTATTCCTTTCATAAGAAACCCAAAGGAGTTTGCTCATGTCTGTGAGCAATTCAATCTCTTTTCAGTGAACCACTTAGCAAACGAACACTATTTGAACAGAGTTGTCTATTTTTTTTCATAATGGGCCCTTGTGTTTTACAAAACATGAATGAAAGAGGGAAATATTTGATGACTAAGACAAGATTTAGCAAATATTAAAGGAAAATTTACAAAACCACATGTCATTTTGTAAGATTATTTAGATTGGGTGAAACTAAATATGAATTGAATTTCAATTCAGCTAAGTTCTACCACAGTTTTAAGAGAAGTTATTAACAAAAATGTTACTTACATAAGGAATTGTGTCCAAAGTATCTGTGTTGACAATTATAGGAGCAGGACTGGCCTGAAAAACAGAAATAAAAAAAATTAAATAATGAATAGTGTATTCTGAGACAGATTATTTCTGTTAACTTATTTAACAAGGAGCTCAACAAGCATATCTTGAGGACCTGTATAGGCACTCTTGTGTTGTGGGATAAATGAAATGACTAAGAATTCCTGTACCTTCCCCACCTCAACTATTTGTTACATTTACCACATAAAGAAATGAAGTAAGCATTCATAGAATTTGCATTCATTTTCTCTTACATTCTACAAAAAAATATAGGAAGTGAAGACTTCTGTCATGTATAAGGCAAGGATTTCTAATAAATTCGGTGAGGGTTAAATTTTGTATCATTTCTTTTTTTCTTTTTTTTTTTGAGACAGAGTCTCACTCTGTCACCCAGGCTGGAGTGCACTGGTGCAATCTCAGCTCGCTGCAGCCTCCGCCTCCCAAGATCAAGCAATTCTCCTGCCTTAGCCTGCCAAGTAGCTGAGACTACAGGCACACACCACCACGCCCAGCTAATTTTTGTATTTTTAGCAGAGACAGGGCTTCACCATGTTGGCCAGAATGGTCTTGATCTCCTGAACAATCGGCCCTCCTTGGCCTCCCAAAGTGCCGGGATTACAGGTGTGAGCCACCATGTCCACCTGTATCATTTCTTTATGAAATGACTTTGCTAAAGAAATTTATCTCTCAAGGAAGCAAAATTAAACCTAAATGAATATTCATAGTTATTCTCTTCAAACTGCTTTTTGAGAGTACGCTATATGCTATATTCAATACCAAAAGGCTTCACTTATCAACATCTATGTTTATACATTATGCACACTGCATCATATATTTTCTTTATTATTTATGCACCTCTAATCATGTACCTTAGACATCCTTAGACAAAAGCATATTGGATATGTTCAACTTTCTTTTTTACAGATTGTATAATTTGCAGTAATTCTCTTTAAAGTTGAGCAGGAATCTCTGTAAAACTGATACAGCAGTGCTAGAAGCCAAGTTATTAGAAAAAGGAGATTGCCATCTCTATTTGCATCAGCAATCTAACTTCGTGAATACTGAGTAAAGCTATCTTTATTTTTTAGTTTCTAGAATTTTCACAGCAACTTTAACTTTATCCCCCAAAGAATCTTTAATCTTTGTTCCAAATTACAGATTTCATTTAGATAAAGGAAATACTTTCATCTTGATAAATAGAGAGCTGTTTTGTACGATACGGTGGCTTTGGAATGTGCTTAAATTTGGGGATATTTCATTAGTTATGCCCTTCGGAGTTAACAGAGTTAACAGCTTTTTAATGTCAATCTGTTCTGTGGAATCCTAATTAAATGATAAAACAAATAGTAATCCAGCAGGTTTTACAAAACACAATTTTATGTCTTTACCAAAAACTCTGGGCATGGTAAACATAACCTTGGCATACGTATCCACATAATGGATCAACTAGTTAGTCATAATATTTTCATGATGCTTAATGAGAACGTATCTTGTGGCTAAATAGAAACTCTGGAGAAAGATAGTTTTCACTGGATCTAACAAAAAAAAAAAAAAAAAAAAAAAAAAGAAAGAAAGAAAATAGAAAAAAGAAGAGGCATGTGAAGAAGAGAAAAAGGTATGAGGTTTCCAGTCAGAAGTCATAGGCTCAAGGTTGGTTTAGCAACCTCTGATTATATGATTGGGGGCTTAGTGATTTCCTAGTGGTGGGGTCTTAGGGCAGGTCCTCTAACCCTCTCTGACTAATTTTCCTTCCTTGTGGAATGGGAATAGTAGTAACAACTTTCCAAAAAGGCTGAAGATCAAATGAGATGATATAGTTGAATGTACTTTGTAAACTGTAAATTTCAGAATAAATGTTAAATATTATTAGTAGCAAGTGTCTATTAAGATACGCGACTGTGAAGGTATATTATTGGATTGTTTGTAAACTATTTACAATGCAGAGATTTCAATGCTATATTAGTGGCTACAATTACACTCATAAGAGGCCTGATTAGATTGTGGTTCTAAAACAGATCATGTGATTAGATTGTGGTCCTAAAACAGATCATGTCAAAGGCAATAATAACAATGCTTACCAACTATTAAGTATGTATTACCATTTATTAAATATATCCATAAGCGTATGTATCACTTAATCTCCACAAAATCATACTGATGAGGCATTATTATCACTATTTCTATATACATGAGAAAAATGAGGTTCAGTGAAAATGAGATTTGTCATTTGAATATTATTTTTTCTGACCTCAAAATTCATTTTTCCCCACTAAGCTGCTTCATAAATCCAGGATCTAGGTTGTTTTATCACAAGAGTCTTGCAGTGATATGTGAGCCCTATACTAGAGTATCATATAAGAACTAGACAAGCAAAGACCACCGTGGAGGCAACAGATGCCTAAGGATATTGCAAGTTAGATGCTGAGCACAGTCTGGTGAAGCCTTATTATATATTTTTGAAAGGCTTTTAATTTTGATGACATCTCTCCTATGCTTTCTGCTTGGTTTCCATGACTTACAAAAGTATGTCTCATATCCAAGACTAGGCTGAAAACTTTTTGAGTTTCATGTGCAATTCTTGTATTTCTCCCTATTGTCTAGTATAGCTTTGATCAATAAATGTGTATTAATTTGATTTGTGGCTGTCAACCCATCTTTGGTTTTTCTTCTTATAGATTATAATAATGTGTTATGGGAATAAATTTTACACATAAGCCCATTTCCTGTGCAATGCCATTCAAAAGTTTTGTATGTTTATGTTGCTATTTTTCATTTTTTAATGTAAATTTGGTCTTTCCAAGAAGACTGTATGCCTGAAAATTGACAAGGATTGTATACTTTTCTAGAATTCTCCACAGCACTTGGGTATACAGAAGGAGCTCAATAAATTCTGAGAAATACTTAGAAATTACTGACTAAATATAGCGATAAAGTACAGAAGTGGATATAAAGAAAAGTAATGTATATTTGTGAGCTTTGTAAAACACTCTAGGATAACCCAAATCCCCAGATCTCATGTTATCAACAAGACTATGACTACTTTTCCAGTATTCAGTATCACTTTCTTTCTTTTATTTTTTTGAGATGGAATCTTGCTGTGTCACCAGGCTTGAGTGCAGTGGTGTGAGCTCAGCTCACTGCAACCTCTGCCTCCTGGGTTCAAGCGATTCCCCTGCCTCAGCCCCCTGAGTAGCTGAGACTACAGGTGCACACCACCATGCCTGGCTAATTTTTTGTATTTTAGTAGAGAAGGGGTTTCACCACATTGGCCAGGATGGTCTCTATCTCCTGACCTTGTGACCCGCCCACCTTGGCCTCCCAAAGTGCTGGGATTTCAGGTATGAGCCACCATGCCCAGCCCGACCCACTTTCTTTCACTGTTTAGTCATATTAGTTTAGTAAATTCAGCTTTTATAATAATTAATGATTTCATAACTGTAAGATGTGGAGTCTGTGAATGGACTCCACTTGAAGTAGACGGCAAGATCTTGAAGACAAGATCTATGTTATTTGGAATCTATACTATATGGAAAGCTTATTATTCCGTCTTGGTGCCAAAAGGATCCAGAAGCCACAGTTAATACCCACCTCTCTACAAGTCGTTAAAAATGCATGAACAAACAAGATTGTGTGAAAATACACATACATCACATACATCTGACATTAGTAACTTTCTGGTGTGACTGCCAGATGAATTTGCACTATCCCACCGTGCTGCTACACCAGGCTCTCTGAAGACTCTCCCACTGCTCTGCTCCAGGACCTTCATAGCCTACCCCAGACTACACAGAGTGTAGTTGAATTCCAAGCATGGCCCATGAGGGTGCTCTTCACACTAGTTGATAATTCCAAACCATCTGTTAGTTCATCCTGGCTCCTGATTCTTTGCTCACTTTTGCAATCAAGAGAGGCTATAACTAGTTTGATTTAGTTTGGTTTCTGAGTCTTAAAAACCAACTATCCAGTTACTTTGATAGTTTCCACCAAGTCTTTTCTCCACTTCATACTTCCCTGCCATATATACCTTGTTCTTTTTTTTTTTTTTTTTTTTTTTTTTGAGATAGGGTCTCACTCTGTTGCCCAGGCTAGAGGAGTGCAGTGGTGCAATCTTGGCTTATTGCAATCTTTGCCTTCCAGGTTCAAGCAATTCTTCTGCCTCAGCTTCCCAAGTAGCTGGGATTAAAGATGTCTGCCATCATGCCTGGCTAATTTTTGTATTTTTAATAGAGATGTGGTTTTGCCATGTTTGCCAGGCTGGTCTTGAACTCCTGACCTCATGTGATCCACTCACCTTGGCCCCCAAAGCTCTGGGACTACAGGCATGAGCCACTGCATCCAGCCATACACTCTCCTCACTTTGGAGATCCTCTTTAATTGTACCCCTAAATCAAACTGGTGACTCATTAGATTCTAGTCTCCTTCTTTAATATGCTTATTTCCATTAACTCGAAAGAGATTTATGAAAAATCTAAAACAAAATATTCTTTTAATCTGTAACTTCATATACATCTAGGCAAGATTTTTGATACTATAAGGGATGAAGAAAAATAAAAAAACTCTTTCTTGAGGAAACCAAACAATGAAGCCGTTTTTGTTTGTTTGTTTGCCTTTTACATAACATTCTCTTCCTTGCAGAGAAAGCCAGTTTTCAGCAAAAGGGACTAGTACTGCTAATTACAGAGAAGTGAGAAGCAAGAAGCAAGCAGAGGGAATACAGATAGAATTTAAACTACTAGATCAAGTTATTAATAAATGTCAGCCACCTTCCTGCCCTTGGGCTTCATGTGATATACAAATGTTCTTATATTACATCAACAATTTTGTGTATACTAGTAACAGATATGCTTTTTTTGCTTCCTTCAAGAGACTCTAAATAAAAAGGAATTTGACAAAATGAATGCGACTTTTCAAAGGAGTTCATTGATTCTAACTAAGGTGGTTACCTCTTGACATGTGTTAAGTGTCAGATCTGGGAAATACCTCTGACATGTGGGCAAGTGGTCATGAAG